GCGTGAGCCGAGAGGAAACGCATCAAATTACCGCAAAAAAAAAAAAGAATGGAAAAAAAAAGTGAAGATATGACACGTCTGTAGGGGAAAAGAAGAAGGGGGCTGATAGACGTGGGGACGGAGAGACAGATTTCCCGCTCTCTCCGTCCTCCCCCCCCCCGAGAGAATAAAAAAAAAAAAAAAGAGACTCGGGAATGTTTTTCAGGGAGAAGCCACGCAAGTGAAAAAGGAAAGTTTTTAAATTTGGGAAGGAAAAAAAAAAAGGATGAGGAGAGAAGAAGAAAAAAAAAGGAAGAATAAAGGGGAGGAAAGGGAGTTGTTTTTGTCGGGTCATGTCTGGATTTCTCCGCCATGCGTCTAGTGAAATGGAGAAATCTCTGCTGTGGGAACACAAGGGAGTGGATGAGGGACCTCCGTTTTTTAAGACTCTCTCTGCCTTCTTCTCCTCTCCAGCAAACCACATGATGCATAAATAGAAGCAGACACCCGAAATACAAAAAAAAAAAAAGAAAAAGAGGGATGAATTAAAGAAATATGCTACAAATATATGCGTATACTGTTTATATCTTGTTGTCCACTCTTTTTTGTTTGTTTGTTTCCTATGTACTTCTGCGCAATTTACACAAGTGTGCAATTTTTTGTTTTCTTTATTTTTCCTGATTTTTTTGTTGCTTTCTTCTGGATGGCTGCTGCAGAGGGGATGATACGCCCTCTCATGTCTTATTCGTTTCTCCACCACATTTACTGGCTCTTTCCCCTCCAATTGCATCTGCACTGGTGTGAAAACAGATAGGTACAGGGTGTGGGTAGAGAAAGTGGTGTAAGTGATGCTTGGACTCTCAGGTGTTCAGCAACAGCAACCCTATCATCAGCATACTTCACAACAGCAGTTTCTGCGTGCTAAAGGGCGACGATGTCTTTACTGCCAGCAGCAGGGATGTCCGGGCTTACAGAACTGCTGGTGGCCGCGCCTTCGGTCTTTAGGGTCCAGACCGCACCGCAAGGCGGAATCCGATTTTCCACAGCATTTTTGGTGGGATGGAGATGTGAGGAGCGAAGAGAAGAACGTGAATGCCATGGAAGAAAACTTGCGGGCGCAAATACGTGTCTTGGAGCATGAGGTGCAGCTACTCCGCGCTGGCCTTCACAACATTGCCTCCGTCAATCGCCGCGGTAAGAAGGACGTTGCCACCATGACCACCCCCGATGTGCATCTTTCCACTGACTATCCCTCCGATCTCTTGTTCAGTCACAGTGTTAAGAGTAGCGGCAGCGGTCTTCGTCCGCCGAGCCACCCCGTCGTTTCCTCTCTGCCTGGTGGAATTTTACTACAACAACAACAACAACACCTCCGGGAAGAGCAGCAGCAGAAGTCTGTGAAAGGGGTTGGTTGTGTTGACTTTTCCCACCCAGAAGGGAAAGTGGCAGCCGGGGTGGCGGACGTGTCTGCATCGCCACCGCTCCAAGGAGACCCGGAATCGAAAGACGTGGAGGGACTGGATCACCTTTTGAGGGAGCTGACCGCACAAAACGTGGCACTTTGCAGAAGACTTGCGGAGATGAAAATTGTTCTCGAGCAGCGTGACACACTTCTCCAGTCTATTCTGGCGGAAAGATTGAAATTGAATGCCACGCACGCTTCATCGTCGGTGCAGGCGTTCGCCTCCGCTCAATTAACCGGGCAACCGAAAGAATTATTTTCGCACCTTCAGGAGGCGCAGGAGGAGGTGGCACATCTTCGGGAAGAGACACGACAATTGAAGACGGCACTAAAAGGTTGCAAGGCAAATCTGGAAGAGAATAACACCGAAGCAGAGGAGCTTCGGCGTCAGATACGGCCGCCCACACTTTTTTCGAAGGAGTTGAACACCATTGCCGCTACGCCACCCCTTTTGGCGACCGATGGAAATGCTCCTTCACTGCCAACGGCAGCCGCAGCCGCAGCCGCGGCGGAGTTTAGGACCAAAGAGCCCACCGTCATTGTTGTGAATGATTCCGCCCCCGTGCCATACGAAAATACGGCAACAGACGCTGCGTCAATGAAGGCGGAGATGCGTGAGCTTCAGGAGCGCTTGGCATTGGCGGAACGAAAGGTTCTCGCCTGGGAATCGTGGTATAGAGAACAGACGCAGCAACCATCGTCCAAAGAAAAGGACTCACGGAAAATAACGCAAGAAGGAACCGATGTTTTTAACGAAGAAAACGTCTTTCCGATGATCCAGAAAAGCCCACAACGTGCATCCAAGAAGGTGCTGCGAGCTTTGCCTGTCACAGCTCCCGCAAATCATGTAAACTGGCGTAATGTTTTCTCATGGCAAAAAGAAATGGTGTCAGATGCACTGACAATTGACACATATGCTCTCATGGCACGGGAGGCCGCCCTGCGTCAAGTGGCAGAGCAGGAGCGAGCGGATGTTTTGGCTGCACTCATGACGGATAGTGCAAGTGATGATGACCAGCAGGAGTGAGTAGACGGACGGTGAGGCCAAATCATAGAACAGAGATGCTTGAGGGGTTGCCTACATTTTTTTTTTTTTTGAGATATATGTTTTAAATGCGTTCTCCTTTTTTTCTTTTAATTTTTACGTGTATATATTTATATATTTGAGGAAATGCTTCTCTTTTTTATTCTTGACTTTTCCATTCTCTGTATTCTGTACCCCACAAACAATATGCAGATGCATTTAGTGTGTGGTGAGACTCTACTGCTGCCGCACCAGGAAGAAGAATAAGGGGGAGTTGAGGTGAGGTGGAGAATATTCGTGTTGCCTCCTCACATTCAATGTCCACAGCCTCGCCGGTGTCCAGCCGAAGCACATACGATGAGGAAATGGAATTTTTGATGAACCCTGCGGCAGCTGCGTCTCAGGCTGAAGAAACACCTCGACAGAAATCAACAGAGTTGATGTCGCAGGAACAGTCACAGACTCACTACGCCGTGAACAGAGCGGTCACAGAAGCCATGACAATGGAGCACGCCGTTCGCGTCCCTCATGCTTTGCAGGCGGCCACACGGCGCACGATGCTTGACGTTCTCACACAAATGCGGCGCCAAAAACAGAACGATTTGGCTAACTGCTCTGGAGAATACCTTGCCGAGAAGCCATTGTACAATGGGCTAACAGAAGAAAAACCACATGATAACCTGACTGTCACAGATGAAGCGGCCTCATTTCTTCTCGCTGACACAACCAAAATGGGGGCAAACAATGCAAGCACTCTTAAATCAGGCCTTAGTCGGAGTCTACGGCATCTTATGCCTTCCCAGCGCGCTTTGCCAGGTGAATTGGAACCGCAACAATACACACACGAGCAAAGTATGAGGGAAGACAGCATCTCTGACTTTGATGACGACAATAACGTTGGTGGATGTCTAATACAGGCTCCACAAAGGGTTTCAATGGAAAGACACTCTGAAGACGGCCGTTTTCTGCAACGCCACTCGTGGAATTCCGCCGTCTCCGAGGAGGCCACAAGACGGCATACAGAGCACAAACGTACATGGGCAAAACTATTTGATTGTGATGATCTACACCAAGAGGAACTGACAGGGCATGAAGATCGAACCACAATGTTGCCAGCAGAGAAGTGCACACGTGCGTCACGCACGTCCACGAAATCATCTCGTCCGAGCGCGAGTTCATTTAAAGGCCTTTGGACAGAAATTGAAGGTGGGCCGCGACAGACGACGGGTAGTCGTACATCGCTTGCAACCCTACTAAACGAGGCTGAAGCCAAAGATGATGAAGCATATGCTCAGTCTGTGGCAGCTGCCGTTTCTGCCTCAAATAGTGATGGAAAGTCGTGCCGTTTCACAGATGTATTGGCCAACGAGGAAGCCGAAGAAGTTCGTATGCCTTCCTGCCATTTGGTTGGGAAGCCCATGTTTTCCACCAGGCTTCCTACACATGGCAGTAGCCCATCGGTGCCAACAGCATTTGCTGTGTTGCACGGTTCCACGAGGCGAGTTGGGAGTCGCGGAGGAACGAGCGCGGTGCTAAAACAGTTGTCGGAGAATCCGATATCAGCACGCGTTGTTGCGTACCTGACCCGTTCCTTTGAGGATTGGAAACTAGATGCCGCGCTCATACGTCGGGCGAATGAAGAAGACGAGCCACATAATTTATCCTTTTCTGGTCCCAGTTTGCTTGAAACTAGTGGCGTGCAGCTTAAATTACTTGTGAAGGTGGTGGAAAGTGCCTTTTCTCTCTATTGTATACGATGCGAGGTGGTCTGGGCAGATGCGCAGGCATCAAAGGAACTTTTTTTTGATGCGCATACGGCTGATAGTATGATACCGATACAGAAAGAGCATGAAGAAGGAGAAGGAGGAGGTAATGAAGCAGGAGTGGAGCATAAAATGAAAAAGTCACCTGTAACATGGACGGTTGTTCTGACGGCAGCCACATTCCGTGCCATCCCCATTGTTGTGGGGAACCATCTTTACTTGGCACGGCCGTTTTTCTGCTATCCTTCCATCCGCGTCATTGTTGCCTCACTAAATATTACTTCCGATGCGGCTGTGCAAAGGCTGCAACCCACAGCCCGCCGCCAACGTCGTCCACGAGATGCGGATTCGTCGGAGCCACAAACCGGAGGCCGCGCCCAAAGTGGCGAGTTTTGCGGTGAGGAGCTGTCGTTTGGTGCGACAACACCCGAGCGAAGGAACAGGCCGTCTGCTTCTCTGACGGGCGTCTCGCCGTTCCGGGCGTATGATCCGTTTGTCAACCCACCGACAAATCTGTTTTGCAAGAACAGCGTTGCTTTGGGTCCATCAAATCCAGTGTCGGAGAGAATTCTGCGGCAGTCGGCCTCTATGCCGCGTAAGACTACAATGAACCTGGAGGGTGGTGCATGTGGAAAATTATTGGCGTCAAGGTCGCAAATGGTAGCACATGACGTCATTGGTGCACAATTCCCCCGTGGCCCCGGTGAGGAGTGGGATGTGCCACTGGAAGTGCTGGTGGCATTGTGCCCACCTAATAAAAGGACAAGCTCCGGCGAGCCAGAAGCGCATCGTCGCAGAACGAACAACCTGTCCCTAACGCCTCAACGAACCCGCGACGAAAAATATTCCCCCCTCTCCTCCCTCTCATCGATTGACGTGGAAGAGCCTTCCCCCCTCGCTGAGGCCCAAGCCAGAGGTGGGGTGCCGCTATGAAAGAGCTCTGTTGAGTGATTGTTGAGAATCAGCAGAGGAAGTGTTGTTGTTGTTTTTGTGTGTGTATCTTTTTTTTTGTTTTTCTTTAATGCTTTAAATGCACCCTGCCTTTTCAGTCTTTGTAGCTTGTAATGTTTGCGTGTGGGTGGCCCACGCTTCTCCATTGCGATGCTCCTCTCACTTCTTGACCACTATTCTGAGTAAGAGAACTTCTTGGGGAAAAACAAAAATTGAAAGCAAAAAAAAAAAAAAACAGAAGGGGCACAGCGGTATGAGCGTACATGAAATGGAGGATCTGTTGCTTGGGAAAAAAGTGGTGCGGCTCCCACGGCAGTATGACGCGTCCAGCTTTTTGCAGATGTGTTCACTCAATGAACAGTACCGAATTCTTGCGAGCATATGCCGTATTGAGAGTCGTAATCTTTCGCGGCCAGGCGATGACTGCAGTACACAAAACGGCGGACTTTTCGCGAATGCCGCAGAGTCATCCGAACACCACCACGGTGGCATGCCCGAAATTTATTACTCTGCCCGTCTCTTGGCCTTTATGAGTGACTGTGGGCCAGAAGCAGGAGTGTTGAATATACTCAGGAAGGAGCACACCCGTAAGCAGCAACAAGGGGAGAAGGAAGAAGAAGAGAAAAATAGGTTGTCACGGGAACTTCAAGAGCAGGAGGGGAAGGCGGTGGCAGAGGGTGGAGGATGTGAAGGGGGAGAACAAGAAGGAAAAGAAGCGTCCAATTGGGAAGTTTGGTACGACGAAGAGGGTGGTTACTACTATGACAGCTACGGCTACTACGATGCAGACGGGTATTACTATTACTTTGAAACAGCGGACGCTGGAGACCAGGGAGAAGAGGAGTTGGGACAAAAAGAGGAGGAACAAAATGAAGAAGCAACTGCGGGAGAAAATGAAGGAAACAAAAAAGCCATGCCGCATAACTCACAAAGTGATGAGGAATTGCATGGCGTGGCGGAATTGCATAACACGAAGAACGATGGCATGGAGGAAAATTCGGTACGTTATTCTCGTGTGGTGCCAGATGAAACTCAATTAGCCTTCTCGCCCTTTCTTCGTGGCGTTTGCGCTCTGAACCGTGCTGTCAAATTGATAGAGCAATCCATCGCTCCTGTGGACGTTTATATGAAAGAAAATGATGTGCTCCCCGCATTTCCAGTCTTGGTTGTCTCCGACTCAGAAGTCGTTGGGGGAAGAGGTGTTGATGTGCGTCCCGAATGTATTCACGTTCTCGCCAGTAGCCAACACCTACACATTGTGTATGTACCGACCTCCCTTTCTAATGGACAGGAAAAGCAGCTAGGGGGTGAACAGGAGGAGAAAATGGATGGCTTGGCACCATTGCGTGATCTCACAACGCCAGGTGGTGTGCTAATGTCTATTCCCCTAAATGACTGGGGTGGTAACTGCACCACCCACTGCGGAAGCTTAGGAAATGGCCGCGTGTTTTTTGAAATTCATATGGCAATGGAAAATAATAATGGAGTGACGCTATCAATGGTTTTTGGTATTCCTCCTGATGCGTCATTTTGGTCTGCACCGCTGGCATCCCGCCTTGTGGAAGGCTACGAGCAGCGTGTGTTGCACCACCTGGCAAAAAGTGGATGCGTATTGGACGAATTACTCCTTGAGGAATTGGGGAACGCAAGTATTGGTTTCTGCTGCGCATTGGATATATCGCGGCCACTCTTCAGTTATTCCGCCCTGCTTCTGAGTGAGGATGCTGACAGCACCCATAGTAATAATGACGGTAACAACACGTTGCACGAGCTTGTGTACGATGAAGCAAGCAACTCGATATTGTTTGGTAAGGAGCGCGAGGAGGTTGAGCAAAAGGAACAGAGATTGGAGTTTCTTTACCTTGCCCGAGATATGGAGCTACCCCAGCGGCGTTTTTTGCGTGAGGCACTCAGCAAGGTGCAGCAGGACGAGTGTAAAAATCGTGATAAATTGATGGCCGAAGCATGGAAGCCCTATCAGACAAGCCAACAACTCTCCTTTCACACCACGGCCTTTGAGATACTGCCGCTTCTGCGGATGCAGGAGGCTTCTGTTAAGAAACTTATTGAAACCGAACAAAGTCAGTGGGAGGGTATTATTCAACGTTTTTCGAAGCGTCATCAATGGCTTTTTGCCGAGGAAACACGGCGCCGACTGGAACAGCAGTTTGCATTTGAGCGAAGAATACGATTGCTACAGTGCTCCGTCGATCTTGACGTTCTCATAGAACGAGAAACGGCAATGCGTGCGATGGCAGAGCGCGATGAGGTGCTGGAGCGGCACAGTGGTGAACTCATGGAGTGCTGGATCGATTTGTTGACACGCCGGCGCGCAGAAGAAATTTGCCGGACGACACCTGTGAAGGAGGACGAAGGCCTGATATCTGCCGCCAGAAACGCGGAGGAGACGGATGAGGAAATGGAAGGACGTCTCGGGCGAACGGCGAGCCGCTCGCGCGAATCGCAGCAGCAGCTACGTGCCTCAACCCACTCCGTCCAGTCACCGACAACTGAAGAATTCATGCGGATGGTTTCGGTTGGCCACCGCGGCACCCTTGCTCCGTGTCGCACACAGCCTTTGCGGCAATTTTGTCTCCCCCCGGCATAATGATGAAATTGAGAGAGAGAGGGGAAAAGGAAGAAATAAATAAAAGATGGAAGAGGGATCGATATAACGAAAAGAATGAACAAGAAGGGAAAAAGGAGCGAGAGGGGAAGGGAGCGTTGTGTACAGGGCACATGAAATTCTGCCCACTTATCGTAGTTTTATGTAACCAGCACATCTCGTGTCTTATTATTTTCCGCGTATTTTGTTGTTGTTGTTGTTTTTGTATTCTTGTACTTGTGTGTATGTGTGTGTTTTATTCATATCACTTGTTTTTTAATTTGATGGGTGTCTTTGCGCATTTAATCTGATGAGAAGCGGGCACAGCCGTGTGAAAGTGCGAGAGCACTCTGCATGTCTCCTGGCAGCAGAGGAAGAGAGAGAGAGAGTGTGTGTGTGTGTGTGTGGCATGCATTTTGTTCCACCATCGCCGTCTTCTTTGCAGACAATTTCCCTTTTCTTCCTTTTTTCCTCACACGGGTGCACGTAACTGTCGTTGGCACCCTGTAAAAGAAAACATACGGCCCAGACACTTCTCTGCACGGCAAGCGAAAAGAGGAACCAAATAACAAGGAAACGGAAACGTCTAATTCCACAGCAACAACAGCGGTGATATTTTTTTCGAGAGAAGTGTAGGCTGGAAGACGGAGGATTTGGACCAAAAGAAAATAACAAGGCAACAAAATGGCAAACGGTGTAACGGCGAACTCCATGCGTGTTAATGTAAAGGCGCCTGACTTGGGTGCCTTTCCCCTCGATCATTATAGCGAGTGTAAGAGCCAGGTTGAGGCATACTACAGATGTCTGAAAAGCAATGATTACGTCACACCCTTGTGTCGCGATCAGATGCGGGAATATCTGCAGTGCCGCATGGACCGTGGCTTGATGAAGCCGGCGGACCTCGACGGTTTTGGTATTCCCAAGACGGAGTTTGTACCAACCAGGCAGCATCGGATAGATTTAAAGCAGCAGTGGCTACGGCAGAAGATGAACCAGGTGACAGTGGTGTGGGAAGAAAACTATAGGAGGGATGATCTGCAAGTGCCTGACGGCTACGAGCGAGAGAAGGGCGGTGGGGATGGTGGTGGTGGTGGGGATCCGAAGCCAGTGGGCGAAAAGGTAAATACGTAGGGGATAGAGGATATATATTGTGTTATTTGTGCTGTTATTGTTTGTTCTATTGGTGGTGTATGTGGGGGAGAGAGGAAGGGAAAGCATTGTTGGGTGGGAAGGGAGATTGAATTTTCTAACGGCTCATTGTTCCAGCAAAGTGGAGTTTACATGATGTGTAAGTAGAAACGTGAAAAATCGCAGGGAAAAAAAAAAAAGGAAAAGAGAAATGGGACATGTAGGGGGGTTTTTGTGCATCTCTTGTGCCTCCAAAATCATTCTCGACGTGTTTCAGCTTCTGCGTTCCTTAGTTTTGTGGGGAGGAAGAGGGTGCGTACACGCCGCTTCAAAAGAAACAAACTAAGCGGGAGGATTACCGTTCATTTAGTACTAGTTTATTCTTTTTTTTTTTGGGGGGGGGGTGCGCGTGTGAGCAGCATGAGCACCGAAAAGCGGCCCGTGGTGCTTGACAATGGCAGTGGTTTTATAAAGTGTGGCTACGCCGGCGCCAACTTTCCCACGGCCGTTTTTCAGACTGCTCTTGGTCGCCCCGTGTTGCGGTCAACAAAGAAACGCAGCCATGGCAGTAGCGGTGGGGGAGAGGGGAATACGCATGTGGACCCGATGATGCGAGATATTGTCTTTGGGGACGAGTGTAGTGGCGTGCGGCACCTTCTTGACATGACGTACCCGATACGCAATGGCATCATTCAGAACATGGATGAAATGTGTCATCTATGGGATTACACCTTTGGGGAAATGCTTCAGATAAACCCTTCGGAGCATCGCCTGCTTCTCTCAGAGGTACCACTCTTTAGTAGCAAACACCGCTGCCATTTGTACGAGGTGATGTTTGAGAAATACAATTTTATGGCGATTCAATCGGCTGTTCAGGGCACCCTTTCACTGTTCTCCAACGGCCTACAAACCGGTGTGGCGGTGGAAAGTGGGGAGGGCATCTCCCACTGTACACCCATCTTTGAGGGGTACGCACTGCCCAAGGCGAACCGTCGCGTTGATCTGGGCGGACGCAACATCACAGAGTTTCTCATTCGACTGATGCAGCGGCGCGGATATAGTTTTAATCAGAGTAGTGACTATGAGACGGTGCGGCGAATGAAAGAACGCTTCTGTTATGCGGCGGTGGATAGTAAGCTCGAGAAGCAGCTTGCCCTTGAGACAACAGTGCTGGAGCAGACCTTTCTACTACCAGATGGCTCATCCTGTAGTATTGGACAAGAGCGTTTTGAGGCTACTGAGGCTTTGTTTCAGCCTCACTTGATAGACGTTGAGTGTGATGGACTATCGACACAGCTGTGGAACTGCATACAGGCCGCTGAAATCGACGTGCGGGCACAGTTATACAGTCATGTTGTGCTGTCTGGTGGCTCAACGATGTTCCCGGGCCTTCCGAGTCGTATTGAGAAGGACATGCGTGCAATGTTCCTTGAGAAGGCACTTAAAGGTGACCGCTCACGTCTTGGTCACTTTAAGCTGCAAATTGAGGACCCGCCACGGCGGAAGTATATGGTGTTTCTTGGTGGGGCGACATTGGCAGCATTGACAGTGGACCAGCCAGAAATGTGGCTCACACAAGCGGAATGGCAGGAAGGAGGTGTGTCGGCGGTGCGGGCCCGTTTTGGTGCTTAGGGGCTATGGAAGCGGAGACAAATGCTTATATATTTAAATATATTCATTGAGAAAGGGAACGAACGAGGAAATACCGTGAAATAGACTTTGAATGCGTTGTGCGATGTCGTACATCTTGTCCAGACCCACGAACTACGTGGGAAGGCTGCAGTGCGAAGCCTAGTGAGAATGAGAAGGATGAGAAAAAGAAGGCTTGGAAGGAAAAGAGTGTGTATTTTTCTGTGAATTCCATTTTTTTTTTTTTTTCCTGCCACAGTACATATGTAGAAGGTGTATGTATCTTTATTGTACACATACATGTATATATATATTATTTATTTATTTATTTTACTTGTTGTTGCAAGCAAGAGCTCATGTTGTGTCTCTCTTACTGTTTCTTTTTTGTTCTTATTTGTAAAAAAGGGAGTGGTGCGAAAATACGCAGGAAAGGAACGGGGAGAAGTGTATCATTGTGTGCAATGGGAAGAAAGAAGCGTGTGGCCAGTCATGCCATCAAGAGTATCCTCATGAAGGAGAAGAGTCTAGCACAGAAGAAAAAACGGGAAATGGATGGTTATCAAGACACACCAGAGCCGGTGCTCTCGCAGGTCAAGGATGAGGCTGCTGTGCGATTTCAACGGAATCAACTTACTGTCGCCGCGCCAATGCAGACAAACATGTTTCTTTCATTTAATAAGAGTCTTGGACCGCCGTTTCACATCTGGCTGGATACCAACTTTATCAATTTCTCGATGCAGAATAAGATTGAGATTGTAGAGGGGCTCATGGACTGCATGCTTGCGAAGGTTATTCCGTGCGTGTGTGATTGCGTCATGGCAGAGTTGGAGAAACTTGGCAAGAAGTTTCGAATCGCGTTGAAAATTGCGCGTGATAAACGATTCCGGCGGTTGACATGTGATGGCAAGTATGCGGATGACTGCGTTGTGCGGACGGTGACGAGGCATCCCATCTATATTGTGGCAACATGCGACCAGGAACTGAAAAGGCGACTGCGTAAGATCCCTGGGGTGCCCATTATGTACATCTCAAAACACCGCTACACCATTGAGCGGCTGCCGGAAGTGTACGGTGCTCCTGGATGAGGTAAAAAGAGACATTTGGTGATGCGTGTAAGCCATATGCGGGCTGCTTAAAAGCATGCGAATAAAAGGCACTGCTGAGGCTGCTTGGGTACAAATAAAAAATAGTTATTAGGGAGGTGAGAGAAGGAGCACTCCTGGCTATTGTCTCTGCCCTATATATTTGTTCTCGTTGTTGTTGTTTTCTTTGTATGAGTCTTGGAGGCCATCAGGGGAAGACGCTCTAAAAAAGGTGTTTGTAATGTCCTGAGTAAAAAACATTGACACGGATGTGTGTCTATTTGAAACCCGTTTATTTTTTTTTTTTTTTGTATATGTGTGTGTGTGTGTGTGTGTGTGTGTGTGTGTGTGTTTTGGCTCTAGCTAGGCCTTTGGCGGCGGGGGCTGGGATTTGCTTCTCTTTGCAGCCTGCATATGTGTGTGTATTCTGTCTTGTTGGCCTCCGTCTGAGGTGAAGGGAATCATGCTGATAAAAACAAGGAGGGTGCGCTGTCCATTGGGTCCGGCCACAAATATTGGTGCAGTACGTCGGTGCCTCACGACAATTGCTGCTGGGGCTTCTGTCCTGGGCGCGCCATCGTCGAAATCCACATCCGTTGCGTTATCGCCGTCGCAATGGATGCGGTCTTCACTGCAGGAGCAGCGGCGACATCGTAGCTTTTCTTTTTATCTCAACCTGGACGATCCCGCCGAGACGCGACGGCGTGTCGAGGAGGAACTTGCCCGCATCGACCAGGAGCACCAGCGAGGCACGATGATGCATCTACACGCACTACTCAACCTTGCCCTTAGTTGCTATCAATCAGGGGAGTACATTGCCGCCCTCGAGTTTGCGGAGCATGTCCACAACAAGACGCGAGAACACAACAAGAATGCAACACTTTTGTTTTTTACTGCCAAAACATGCTCTCGCTGCGCCCTGGCTGTCGCAGATGAGTACGAATCCCACCTTCGGGAAGCAGCGGAAAGGGCAAGTGTGTCTTCAACGTTGGCACCACGTCCTTCCGTCGTGTTCTCAGCGGAAAGGACCATTGCGAAGTTACGCGAGGACGCGGCGCGTTATGATGGCATCGCACAGAGAATATATAACCGCCCCGACAAAGCCTTCATGCGAAACTGGAGGTCTACGTCTACAGGATGGTCCGAGGATGCGTGTGGGATGGACGAGGAGCCGGAGGAATTTTTTGGAGGGCGATGGAAGGAACGCCGCAAGCGACCAGAACACGCGGCAATACGCCAATACTATCAACAGCAGCAACAAAGTAATGGGGGCTGGGTCGGTGTGCCAAAGTGAGCGGCGGGGGGTGGCTCCGGAGGAAAGGGAGTAAAAACCGTTGTTGTTGTTGTCTTTTCCTCGAAGGCCACCATTGGGAGAGGGGGCAGAGAGGAGTTATTGTTTGGGGATTCACTCGCCAGCAAAGACTTCCCTTTTCCTTGTGGTCTTGTTACTTTTATCTTTTTTGTTCCTCCTCTTTTTCTCTGCCTTTTTGCCAACAGGTAGCCTCCCTTGTGTGGTCGGAGGGGCACACGCTTTGCCGCCGTGGCGGGGAGGCCATCAACGTGCTTTTGAAATAAATTTTTGTTTTTGTCCTGGGGATAAAACTTGGGAAAAAGTAGAAACTAAAAAAAAGAGTGGGGGATTGTGGGAGGAAAAGAGAAATGTCCCACAGACCTGATTCTACGGGCGGTGGCGAAGACAGGGGAGGTGCTGCCGCTCCCAGCCGGACCGGTGTGGGGATACGGCAGAGAGAAACAGCCGGGTGGGATCATACGCCGATTTCCAACGTCGTATCTCTGCAGTCTGCCATCCAGAAGGAGGGACTGACGGAAAAGATATTTTTTGTTGTACTCGATGTGACGGATGGACGCCGATACAAAGTCTTCCTGCGTCCCGATGATATATCGAGGCTGAAGGTCTCCAAGATACGTAAGACACTCAGCAGCGCCTCAGGGAAACCACCCTTTTCATTCGCTCTGTGGCTGGAGGACGAGCCGCTGATTGACAAGGAGGATGTCAACTGCGCTGCGCTCGGCATCACGCCGCGGACTGTGATGCGCATGTTTCCCACTAAAGAGGAAATGCCGCTTCCCATAGGAGGATCTGAAGGGAATGGTGGCATGGACAGGAAGAGAGAGGCGAGGAAAACGTTAGATAATAGAAAAAGCTCGGTGTCACGTGTAGACAAATTTATGGGACAAATTTTGGATGATCCTGTGGAAACCCCGCGTTTGGTTGAGCTCAACCAAAGACAGCGAGAACTGCAATTCCAACTGTACAAAGAGGCAAAACGATGTCATATTTTCTCGAAAGATGACGCGGTGGCTGGAATTGGCAAGCATAGAGATGACGAGAACGACGATGCCTTGGATGCCCTTTTATCCCCCCCTCGGACAGGAAAGAAGTCACAAATTTGCAGCGCGTCATCTGCGAGGCTTCCCGGGGAGCCCATTTGTGAAGATGATAGCCTCATGGGTTTTATTGAGGAGATTTTGAACGAGGGGCCGAAGCGGCAATGCAGCCCACGTCCGACACCACCGTCTGTGGAATGCTGCCCAGCCATGCCTAATGAACGGCAGTCCTGTGCAGCAGCAGCAGCAGCAGCAAAACAACCATCACTGACTCCAATTCGCTCCAACAATAAAATATCAGCATCAGAAATAATCTCGCATGGCATGCGGCTTAACGAAATGTATTCTCTGGAGGATACCGGTGAGTTTGTGGAACCTCCACGTTTCCTCAATCGTGATGCGTCATCGGAAAGGAAAAATAGTGGTGACAATGACAAGGAGAAAAACGATGTGTTGCCAATTAAGTTTGGGGCGGCCACAGCTGTTCCCATCGCGACGCAGGGGGAAGAGACAGAGGTCACAAGGTTGGTGGAAGATCTGAGGGATGACGTTAATAACCTCCTTGCACTCCACGTGCGAAACGAAACCGCAAAAAGCGCTCTTCAGCGGGAGCTTTCGTCCTCACAGCAGCTTGTAAGACACTTAGAGAAAAAGGAAGCGGTGGCGCGCCAGCAACTTGATGCACTTTTGCTACGCCTTCGTCACGCTCAAGAGGCTAACGGCATTCAAGGGTTCTCTGAAGAAGAGGTTCGTGTGGCACTGCGCAATATGGCGGCTTTGCGTCAGAACGAACTCCTCCAGCGAGAAAATGCTGCACTTGAGCAACGACTTGCCGAGGAGGTACGCAGGCGTCGTGAAATGGTCCTTGCGTTGGAGGACATGAAGGGACATATTCGCGTTTTGGTACGAGTGCGGCCGCCATTTCGTCTTTTGCATGAGCAATACGTTGGAATGGAAGGAAACAACCCAATGTCTGTCCGTGACACTGTGGACGAGTCACGCATGACGGCAGACGAAAGGCGCAACACGATTACTATCACTGACTCTCGTGGGGAATCGAAGCAGTTCAACTTTTACCGCGTCTTTTCGGAAAGCTCCACGCAGGCGGAAGTGTTTGTTGAAGTTTCGCCACTTGTGCAACTTGCTTGCGATGGGGTGAATGTCTCGGTGTTGGCGTATGGACAGACTGGGAGCGGCAAGACGTACACCATATTGGGCGGCGATGGGGATCAAAGCAACACGGAGGCAAAAGGAGACGAAGAAAATAAAGAAAACGATGATGATGGAATTGTACCGCGCTCGTTACGCATGTTATTTCAACACCTACAAGTTGAGGCAGCGACAGAGGCAGTCGTCATGCCGCGTGAAGATGACAATTGTAATGACGACGAACGCCCTTCCTCTACTTATGAGGTTTCTTGTAGTCTTCTGGAATTGTATAATGACAAGGTACGAGATTTACTTGCGCCCCCACAAGTGATCATCCCCAATTTTCAATTGCGCAAAAGCAACGTTTCAGAGCAACGTGGAAAAACACAGGTAACACCACAGTGTAATTTGAAGATTGGATCCGATGGCCTCACGCATGTAGTGGGCCTTACACAACACGTGGTGTGTGATGCAGGGGAAGCGCTGAGGACTCTTCGTGAAGGTGCCTCTCGACGTCAGGTCCATGCTACACAACAGAACTGTCATTCAAGTCGATCCCATCTCATCTTCACTGTTTACCTCACACAGAAACGCCGCATTCCCTTTCGAAACGAGGCTTCCACCACACGTGCATCGTCTACTGTCCTCAGGCGAATGGAGAGCAAGTTGGTTTTTGTGGATTTGGCGGGTTCGGAGAGGATTTCAAGTCGCAGAGCGTGGGAGACCGCTTGTTGGAAGCACGACACATAAATAAGAGTCTGGCCGCATTGGGTGACGTCGTGGCAACCCTCTCCAATGCGACAATATCTAACACCGCAGCAGTTCATGTTCCTTACCGGAACAGTACCCTCACTGGGCTTCTGCAGGATGTGATTGGGAACCGTAGCAAGACGGTGCTTCTCGCTTGTGTGGGTCCAAATGATCCGCCATACGAGAATAACACAGCCGAGACGGTGACCACGCTAAAGTTTGCCAGTCGAGTGAGGTGTGTACGAAACTTTGCGCCGCTATTCCCAAAAACAGGAGCAACTGGAGACGGTGATCCCACGAAGGGCCCCGGGACGAATAATTTGGAGCCGGATGTGGATCCCTCACACGTCTCCTCTTCCTTGGGACGGGGCGCCAAGAAACTGTGGATGCGGCCGACAAAATTGTCAAAACAAAGAACCGATATTGCAGCTCGTTTCAGACTTGTTGCGGCGAACGAGGCTGAGAAAACGGAGGACGGCGGACGGACGCGATCACCCGCACCGTCCTGGCCACCGAAGGGCAATAACCCTCATGCCGAACAGCGACTTAGAATGCGTTTTTAGGTCTCTGCGGCGCCATCGTGGGAGAGAGGCAAAGAAGTGAGGCGGGTGGAAGACATGAATCAGATCATCTTTTATCGAATCAGCAATAAGTATTTGTGTGTTTATTTACCTTGTTTTATTCGTGATGGCGGTATGGTAAAAAATGTTGCTGCCCAAAGGGTTGCAAAAAGAAAAAAACGTGAGTTTTTTTTTTTTTCTTTCCCTCTTATTTGAAAAATAATTATTGCCATGCGGGCGTCTTTCCTATGTGGTTGAAAGTTTCCGAAGTTTTCGTGTCTCTTGCTCTTCTTTTTTTTGGGAGCTGTTTTCAAGGGCCAAAATGTGTTTGCGGCGGAGCAGTATATGGAACGGTTGGAAGGATCACAAATGTGCCGCTTGAGCAAGAGCTGGCGCAATGGGCGTTTTTTTCAGAAACTGATTTTTAGGTGAAGAGTGCTGCAGCCTTCACATACAATTGTGTGGGGGAAGGGGGGACGGGGAAAATGGCAGAATGGGGGCAATTTGAATCACCCGGACACTAGCACCTGGATGTGTTTGCCAACGGAAATCAATTCCTATTTTGCCTCCGTGCTTTTCCTCTGGGGAAACTCCGTGCTAGAAGCTGATGAGCGGGCTTTGGGAGATTTTCCATATAATTGCCTGTGGGGGAATTTGTTTTTGTATTGAAGAATACTTTGGCATTTGAAACTCCTATTGCTGCTGTTGTTGGGTGGGGGATGCATTGTATGGCTTGTGGGTGAATGAGGGAGGAGGAACTGGGTGGAAGGTGGAGACTGTGACAGTTGTTCATGCTTCCTTTGAATGGATGTATTGCCAGGACTGGAAAGTAGCATGGGTATTCTTTCTATTTAGCCGCTGCCGCATCTATGCCTTTCCTTTTATTTATTTATACTCCGTTGTTTGTGGGGGCAACTCTGAGGATTTTGTCTTGTTTTTTTTTTTCTCCCTTATTCTCCTTGAATGCGGGGCAGTTTGGGTGTGCAGGTAGATAGCTGCAAGGGAGGACGGGGGAGGGGGAGATGCTGCGGTGTGCGTCGCGCGTCTGTCGGGCCGCCTCCCTGTTGGGTTACCCGCTGCGCCGGGCAGCCGCGATGGAAATGTTGTACGGCGGTGTGCGTGTGCAGCACCTTGCACAGTCGCCGTTCTCCCTCCGGAAGACGCAGTCAGAGGCGCTTCCGTCCCCGTCGCTGCAGCGCGAGCGGGACGATCTGGAGCTGGAGGTGAAGGACTCTGCCAACAATGTGATGGGGCTCCGCCTTTTCCCCATTAACATTGGGATGCGGGCGAGGAACGAGGCGGTGCGGCTGCGAAGCGAAGACTGCTACAAGCG